CCAAAAAAAAAAAAAAAGAAAAAAAAAAAGAGAAAAACTGATCAATCGGAAAGCTTTCTGCTGGGCTTTTCGTCGTGTAGTGCCCTCTTCCCTCGAATAGAACGCGTGCGTAGGGCATTACGAGTGTGTGTTGCTGGAGGCAGGTCTTTATCTTGCCTATTATAGTATATGCCCATTCCCGTCTCTTATTTTCCCGTTCGGCTCCGTTCCATTGTACCTGGTTGGTCCATACTGGGACCAGGTCCATCACGTTGGGACCTGGTTCATCCCGCTGGGACCGGGTCCTACCAGGAATAGTGTCTGCATCTACAGGAGGCGGTGTGCATTCCGGTTCCGTCCCAATGGTACCTGGTCCATACTGGGACCAGGTCCATCACGACGTTGGGACCTGGTTCATCCCGCTGGGACCGGGTCCTACCAGGAATAGCCTCTGCATAGGAAAACAACATTCGCGATAATGTTTTATTATTATTACAATTTTATATTGTTATCGTTATTAATGATAATGATTGAATATTATTATTGCAATCCTAATTTTCTTCCGTCAAAAAAAAAAAACACACACCCTAAGGGCATACTTCTCACTCTACCTTCCGAACACAACGCACCCTGACCATGCATGCATACGAGCCACCTTTCCGGTCGCATGCAGTCATGATGAGGTTGCGGTTGCTTTTGGGGGAAAAGACAGTAGGACTTTCCCACATATGCATATGATCGCAATTACGGCTACATTCAGTAGCCAGAAAGGGTTCCCCGTTAGTGGGAATGTCCCCCCTCTCTTAATTACTAATTAGTTCTTGAACGCCTGGCTTGCGATTCTGCACCATCTCTCGCTGCGCCTCTCATGGACGTTTTTTGGTATTCTGTCCATTCCGTCTCTCTCTTTGAATTTATGGATCGGTTTGCGATTTTGATGATGATTCATTCACTCGAGCTGATATTCAATTATCTAATTTATCTATAAATAAAATAAATGGCAATAATAAATGTTTTGAGTTTGTTTTTACATTCACATATTGTGTACAAAAAAGTATCACAAACATTAAATGGGATTTAGGGCATCGCCACACCACTCACGGAATGTGAAAAAGACAAAAAAAAAAAAAAAAAAAAAAGATAAAACCTATGGTGGGTGTATCTTTCCATGTTTTTCAGGAATATACATGCTCCATTTAGCAGATTTTGGGAGTGGTGTGCCGAGGCCCTTAGGCCCTGATGGCAATTCTTACTCCCAGGGTTGTGGGGACAACAGGACAGCGGTCTGCATTTGGCCATTTCTGTACCTAGACAGTTTCCCCCAACACGCCTGCACCTGAGCTGGGTGGTGGTCCCAGTATTGTTTTCTTTTCCGGGTTGTTTGTTGAGGGATTCCTGGCCTCAGTGTTTTTTTTTTTTTTTTTTTTTTTTAAGAACAGAACCCCAAGGTTCTGGCTCCTTGTCCATTCTGGTGGGGAGCATCAGTCCGGTTCCTATTCCACCGGCAAGTCAAAGAAAATACATTGAAAACACTCTCACGCTCCTTAGTTTCTTGTTAATGAAAGTGCTAATTTTTGTGAAAAAA